TTTTAATTTAATTTAATGTTCCCTTTTCCACTAAGAGTAACTTGTATAAAAATATATGAACTTTCAGTTATTACTTCCTAACACCACTAAACATATTTAATTATTTAATCGAAACATATGATGAAACAAAAAGAAAGCAAACTTCGGCAAAACCATGTTAATATACCTTGTAGCTATTACAAAACTAAATATTCGTTAAAACTTGCTTTTCGGTCTCATCCAGATAGCTTTAAGATTGGAGAAATTAAAATGATTAAAAACGATTTAACGATAAATAATTATTCACAACGTTTCTAGCATATGTACACTACCATTTTTGACCCACTTGTCAATTTAAATTTTATTTAAATTTAACATGTTTACAACTCAAGTAAATTGCAGTGTGTGCTATTTTACTTAACACTCATTTATTTATTTTTAATATTGCCAAAATCGTTTTAGTGATTAAGAACCACACCAGAAATCCATTCTGCGTGACTTAAAATATCTGTGAAAACCTCAGGTCCACCACATGAGCCAGTTCCATAGCTGAGCATTCCAACCATGACGGACTCCTTTTTTCCCCATTTGTTTATTACTATTTCTAAGGGTCCTCCGCTGTTCCTGAAGCATAGTTCATCGGAATCGATTTTACCACAGATTTGATTCTGTTCCAAGGGACTTTGATCTTTATGTGAGCAAGATTGGGAATTAAGTCGGGCAACTTTGGCAGATTTGTAAACTTTGGTATATGGTACATCGAACGGGAATGGTTTTGACCAACCCGAGAATGTAAACTTCAAACTGGAATCCGCAATCTTCCTCTGGAGTTGATTCTGCTTTGGGTTGCTGCTGTAGAACAGGCAAATTGGCCTGATGAGTGCTGAAATCCAAAGACACTAAATTTTAATATTAAAAAACAAACCAAACATACTTACCATTGAACTCAACTTTAGTAGCCAACTGGATTAATGATAAATCATTCTTGATAGATTTTCCATTATTTTCAAAGTTGGGATGGATAGTCAAGGATTCAGTTAAGTACCATTGTGATGTAAGAGCATCATCGTTCGTTGCTCCCAGGCGAACCGAGCTGTATTAAACAGTAAATTTGAGTTTACACCAGATTACTACCCTTGTATTAATATTAGTTCAAATTATAGATACTGAATGCAGAACGTGATATTCTAAAAGTAACTGGATTGTTCGTATTCCTTCAAAAAAGTGGTATTTGTATAAAAAAAATGTATATAGAAGTCAAGTTTTAATATGTCTTAGAAGCCCAAAAATCAAAAAGCTTCATGTTTGTTTGCTCAAAGTACATATTGATTTCTTTAAAATTAAATTTCCATGCCTTATATTTTGCAACTTTGTATATTGCAGAGATAAGCTCAGTAAAAATTCAAAGTTCAAAAATCAGTAGATCGATGAAAAATTTCTGTATCAGCATCATTATAGCTTTTGTAAAACATATTCAACTAATCTCGAACAGGCCGACTATAACTGACCTTATAGGGCTAAAGCTGTAACCCCACCTTTGTTACACGGTATACACATTTTAGTTCGGGTTAAAATTCATATGTAACGAGGACGGAAGCTAACTTCGGCAAGCCGAAGTTTTAATACCCTTGCAGACTTTGCCGAAATTGCTAAAAGTGAAAAAGTAGCGAAAGGAATAAGGTATACATAAGTAAACTAGATTTGCATCGTTTCAAGTTAATTGCTTTTATACTGCAAAAATGTCATATACAAATAGAAAAAAAGGGATTCTTTCGCAGCCTTAAACAATTTTTCCTATCTCCTTTAAGATATAGACTTCCGAGCGGCAAGCGCTTTTACCCTAATCAAGATATGCGTAAATAAATAAGAATTGGAAAAATTTTTGATAGTAGCTTACACACTTCGCGAAATATTCTGATAATCATCAAATTTGGACCGATTTTACCCTTTTGTTCCTATGGGAGCTATAGGATATAGACGTCCGATCGTCACGTGCTTTTACCCTGATCAAGGTACGCATAAAAAAATAAGATTTGGAAAGATTTATGTCAATAGCTTTTACACTGCGCGAAATATCTTCCATTTTTGCAAGTTATATCCGATTGTTCCTATGGGAGCTATAAGATATAGACATCCGATCGGGGCGGTTTTCAAACTTGATCTGCGTACACTTGTTTTAGGACGAGTGTGAAAGTTTCAGATCGCTAGCTTTTAAACTGAGCTCGCAAACGGTATTGAAACAGACGGACAGACGGACAGACGGACAGACGGACGGACGGACAGACGGACATGGCTATATCGACTCCCCTATTGATCCTGATCAAGAATATATATGCTTTATAGGGTCGGAAACGTCTCCTTCACTGCGTTACAAACTTCTGACCAAAATTATAATACCCTCTGCAAGGGTATAAAAACTGACCTTTTTTCGAGAAAACATCGTTGGCTTTAAGTATTACTTACACGTATCCAGGTTGGGTGTTATGTATGGCATGGGTCAGTATAAAGCCTGGAATTTAAAAAAATAAACTACAGAACAGAACCTTTATATATATCTATACCCACGGTCGGTGATAAGTGTGCCACTGGAATGAAAATAAATTTCCCATTTTCGGGGATTCCATTTGTATATGGCTGCTAGCCAAGGGCTGCCGGATGATCCTCCAGACCCACAGTTTTTATCAAGCCATTGTCCTTGGGTTCCAACAATCAAGCACACAACAATGATCACCTTATTGACAATACTCATTTCAAATTCGCAACTGATAAGCTGCCACGGATCACTGCTCTTTTTATACCCAAAATGCGACGAAAAACGTATATGCTATAATATATTATTTTCAGGCAATTCCCCAAACGTTTCTTTTAAAAGTTCCGAGATAAGCAAAGTTTAAATTGGGATGAAATTTAGTTACAGATAACAATAATCGATTGCTTATTTATTTAATCTTAAAATATTGTGAAGTGAACGACGCTGATAAAATTTTTTTAATTACCCCCTTTGTTACCAATGAGTCTACCCATGGAAGCATTTATATTTCGGTATTACTTCATACTTTAATTAGGATTTAAGCACGGCTGTTCACAGTTCCGAACTACTGTGTGTTACCAATCCTATTTTCCTTGCCAGTCAGGAGACCCTCCGTTGAATTTTTTGGCAATTCGTGGCGGTCTAAAGGGAGAAAACGAAAAGGCTGCTAACGGGAGGAAAGAACGCCAATGAAGCGTTTAACGGCTGCTACGCAATGTTCAGGAAGACAGAAAATTATAAAGGTACCGGCGCCGAAAAAAAGCAGGGACGAGGGGGCGTGGCTGGGGATGTTCAAAAAGCATTTGCCAGACCAATTTAGCGTGGCTCCAAACTCTCAACTCGGCGCACAGTGAGTGCAAAAAATGTGTGCTCGTTGCGTTGTAATTGCATTTGCTACTGCTTTGTTGTTGCTTACAAAAAAGCCACCGCAACGAGGCGGGAGTGAGAAAAAGTTAACGAACGGGCACAAAGGCCCCAGTCCTACGACATCGGCGACACCACCATATAGGAATAGGAACATAGGAACATAGGACCAAAAAGGGGCGTGGTCCGTGGACAGTGCGTCTCTGTCTGGTAACGCACACATCACGTAGCGAAGTTGCCGCAACTAAAACTTCATCAATTTGCCTTGTGAATCCTTGGAAACTTTTTGCCCCGATGTCTACCGTGCGTGAGTGCAAGTATGTGTGTTTGGGTGGCTATAAGTACGTACATACTTACAGCTGGGGCTGAGATAATAGCAGATTATAAAGTTTAATATTTGAGCTTAGTCTCCCGATAATTAACTGTTTTTTCAATCATATTTTTTAAAACATAAAAACTTTGTTAAGTGATTTAAGTCTGACGACAAATACATTTTTTTTAGTTATTATCTCAAACTCATTTTTTATAAACCAAAATATTATATAATATAAAATTTAAAAAAATTATACAATAAATAATGTAAGAATGATCTATTTTACTTTACATAAAAGAAAAGTTTACTTAACACTTAAAAATGTAGATATCCTGAATGTTATAATAACCTTATTTCCATTTACTTTTATTTAAAAACATTAAAATGGGAAATGAAGTAATTGCACTTTACTTTAAATTACTTTGTTAAAAATAAGACTTAAAATTATTATTTAAAATTAAAAGTTCCACTTGGGAATGTTCCTAAATAAATTATGAAAATTGCAATAAAAATTGAAAATCTATAAGAAAAATTCAAAAAGAAGAAAAAGTAAATGTATTTCAATATTTTGTTAAGTAAAATTACAAGTACCTTTCATTTCAAAACATGAATTTTAATTGTTTTCAATGTTGTTTCTATATTGGCGTGTCACATTAGTTTTTCGTTTAAATTCTTTGCAATTACAACAAAATACAAATACATGTTTCAGGAAACATATAATTTCCACATTTATTTAAAGTATGCCTATCATTCTGAACGCCACTGTACACGAGAACGTGCATTCCGGCCAGTGCATAAAGCAAATTATATCGGTTGGTTTGAGAGCGAGCTTCATTTTACGCAATTTTCAGACCATCGCATTGCAGTGCCCTGCGCTCCATTTGGCCATTAATGCCTCGCGTTTTATTTATGATTAATTACAGCGTTTAAAAGTGCATAAATTTGCATTGGATAAAAGTGTTTTTACTAACGAAAATAATTAAATACGTCACAGCCACAATGAAAAGCGGTGGAGGACGATATCGACGAGCGGAGCGACCATATTATATGAATTTACATTAAAGTTTTATCATACCTTGATTTAAATATCAATTGACTCGATTACATTATGCTCCACCATTAAACAAATGTGAGTTAAAGCTTTTATGGGGAAAAAGATTATCTGGAAGTTGGTGATCATAAGAAAAATAAAATAACATGTAGGGTAGTGTAGAATAATTCACTGGATCAGAATTATGTAACATGTAATATTAGAATTACTTCTAAAATGTATATAAAAATATTTCTATTCTATGCTAAAGAAAAAAAAATTGGTTTTGCTAACAATATTTTATTATCGAAATCACATTTTTTACCTGTTACATACTGTGTTACAAAAACATTATGAAACACATAAATTTTAAAATCAAGTTTTTAAATCCGTATAATTTTTTTGTTGGTGTACCGAAGAAAAGATTAGCAATCAGCTGGAAGCGAAGAGAGAGGCTTCGAATTCAAAAGTGAACTCTAAAAACAAAGATGGTATATGAGCTTTAAGCTCGATGTAAAGGTTGTATTTTTTCGTTGTTTGAAAATGTACTTTATTGGTTTTGATTGTCGTAGCTGGTTACCACATGTACCCCATCATCCTGGCGATAGCCTAGGCCATTGTATATCACGTAGGTCCAGAAATACAGGGTTTCACCTGGGTTTAGCTTGGTCTCGCGATCCCGGAACGTCCATCGTCCCTTCTTGGCACTTGGGATGTCCCGTGCCCATTGCCCCGCCTCCAGTCCGTCAAACTCCTCGTTTAGTTTGCCGTGGAAGGCGAACAGCGAAATACCCGGCGCATCCGGAATGGAGACCTCGAATCCCTTGGGATAGAACACCCGCACCTGAGCATCAGGTGCCTTGTAGGCGTGGCTGGTGCAAATCGCCAGCACCAGGAGGACCAGACACAGCGGAAGTCGACTCATCTCGGAACGGAACGGATCGTGTTGCGGTATTGGACCTCGGATCCGAACTAAATTTAAAAATCTGTTGGCGAAGCCGGTTTTCGATTCGATTGCTTATCAAAACAAACACGAGAGAGACAAAAAGCTCAAAATAATCGTAAATTATTTAATTCCAACCTATCGCCCAAATGAAAAGAATTTGTTTCTTGAATTTTTAAATAAAACATATATTTTTAACGAAATTAAGTTTATTTGGTTAAACTTTTATAACTCAAAAACTGCCTAATTCATGATTATATTGGCAATAAAAACCCTTAGAACCAGAAGGTTCTCCAACGAAGAGACTTGTATACAAATATATTTGTTTATAATTTGTAAATTTAAAAATATCAAAAAACAAGAAAGGAAGCAAATTTCGGCAAGCCGAAGTTTATATACTAATCGACCACATTTCGATTTCTATGCCAACATTACTAAAAACGATGAAGCTATTTCGGTTTTGCGCTGCATTTTGCCATATTTTCTATGGCAGCTTTAAGATATTGTTGTCCGATTTTAATTATATTAAAACAGTAATTCAATAATATTTTAATAAATCCAAATCCCAAATAACAAAAAAAAATAATTAAAAACAACAAGTTAAATTTTTAAAAAAATTTTTCCGATTGTTCCTATGGGAGCGATCCGGCTCGTTCCGATTTATATACTACCTGCAATAGAAAAACAACTTTTGGGAAAGTTTAAGCAGACAGCTTTAAAACTGAGAGACTAGTTTGCGTAAAAACGGACGGACTGACGGGCAGACGGACATGGCTAGATCGACTCTCCTGATGATGCTTATCAAGAATATATTTACGTTAAAGGATCGAAAATGTTTCCTTCACTGCGTTACAAACTTTTGACTGAAATTATAATATGCAATGGTATAATGATTCTTAGCTTAACAACTTAACTATCTTACTCAAGTACAAGTATAATAAGTCCGTTTAAAAAACATCAAATTATACAAATTCCAAAATTCTTATAAAAAACCATTTTCTTAAGACTTGCCATATTTCAGAATGTGTTTAAACCATTTACAATTTATTAAAATACATTTTTTTTAAACTAAATTCCGTTTAATTTTAATAAAACTTTTCTAAATTTATTTGGAAGCTTTCCTCTCAGCTGCTAGTTTCACCTCCCTGAAACAGTTGAAAAGTCCAAATGAAAGTTCACACAGGTCCTTCTCATCTTCGTATTCTGCGCGACATACAACCAAATCGGTGGCCACCCATTTCCAGTCAACAACTCCGGACCTCAGATACTCTCCGATCTGTACCACCCCATGCTTACTAATCAGCCCCAAGTCTAAAAGCACGCATGTCAGAAAGCACTTGAACTCCCGATCAACGAGGGCCCCATTGTCTGGCCATTTTTCAAGCACTTGGGAAGCTTCATCTTTTGTAAGCTCCATTTGCCGTATACACGGATTATAAACTGCAGAGTTGCTCTTTAAAAATTAGATTAAAATTAATAAATTTAATATGTAATGCTGTAGGATAACAAATGTAACTTACATGTACTGTCCTACACAGAAACATTAGGAAGAGGTATAGTGCTTCTCGATTCAGCATACTTTCCAAACTAAACGAGAAACTCCAATTCGCGTACTATAAGTACAATATTATTTAAAACAATTAAATGTACTTACAAGGGCTATTCATATTTTTAATCGCCACACATTGTGCGATTAACAATTCATCTTTCTAAAAGATTCGCAATTAAATATTCGACACGGGATGTGAAATAAAAATAAATAAATAAAGAACCTCCAACGAAGTAAATAGCAGCAGCGTACGTGGTTACAAAAATATATTTATAGGATTAAAAGTATATGATATTCTATATTTAATTTTTGGTTTTGTTCTTTGTCAAAATTGTATTGTTGCCTAAAAATAGTAATTTTGTAAGCCCATGTAAAAAGGGATGTGATGGAAAGCTTTAGAACTACCTGATAGCACGGTTGAGGGTTAGACCAGAGTTTATAAAAGCGGATAAGGTACGCATAAAATAAAATTGAAAAATTGTGATTTATTCGGGTTCTATTATCTTAAAATGTATTATTAAAAACTCAAGCCTTACGAATAGGTATTTGGCGAGTCTCATGTAGATTAATTTCCCCTTAGTAGTTTGAAACAATTAAATATACCAAAAATTTGTTCACATAAATCGGTCTCCTTTCTGTACTCATAGCGGCACCGAAGAAGTGTAGGCGCAAAGGCATACTCATCAATAGACCCGTTGTCAAAGTATTTGTCAAGGGAAATCTTTCCATAGTTATCTACAATATTATAATATATCAAAATGCAGGTCACGTAACACTTGTGGGTCTTGTTAACGCTAGCCAAATTCAGATGCTCAGGCCAGTCCTTAAATGCATTATTGGCTTGCTCATCCGTTATCCCGTTATGATCCGTGCACGGATCGGTAAAGGGTATCTCTCCCTGTTAAAAAATTTAATGTATAACCTTGTAGATTCACGGATACATTTAACTTACATTTACAAACTGACACCGCAACAGAAAGAGAACGAAAATAAGGCGTGGTTCTAGTTTTACTGACATTTTACTCAAACATCAACTCAGAAGAAGGTGGCATAGGAAACTGACTACAAATGGCAAATTGGACGCCACTTTCATGATTATAATTATAATTAATGGATCGCTGGCCATTTAAATAATACAAAAGAAAGGGCTCAATTTTACGTTATATCTGATTTTGATTTACAATTGTAGGGAATGCGATAAGATTTAAATTAACAAACCAATTACAATTACAATTTATTATTATATTATGATAATATTTGGTAAAGAACTAAAAATCGACAATATTTCCTTGTTATTTGATTTCATGTTTATTTCGTTAATCTTTGTTTGATTTTCGATTGGGATAATCACGAAATCCTGTTTTATTTTCATTTAATACAGTTTGCCCTTGATGCACATCACCCTTTAAGGATGGTACTGACCATCTTCGACGTCACCATGCTCGGATTGGGCGGCCAGTGCCAGACGTTGTGCCTCCTGCTGGCGTCCAATGGCCGCGTGCTCGGCTGCAATGCGCTCGAATGCGCTCAGGTGCTTCTGGGTGGCATGTGCAACGGCGGCGCTGGCATGCGGAGCGGCTGCCAGTGCCTGGGTGCGGAAAACAATGCATCATTACTAACTGTTTGGGGCCACACCTGCCTACGGAGTACTCACCGCTTGGCCTGGTGTGTAACTAGCATGTTCTTGCGCAATTCGATTGTAGGTCTGGAAATGCCTTTGCTTGGCTGCCTGGACGGCGGCACTGTCCTCCAGTTTGTGGCTCAGCTGTGGATGGAAACCGTTCTCGTCGGCCACGTACTGCACGGTGCGCACCTGGTTCTTGGGGTCCACATAGGAGAAAGCTCCGCGAATGACACCCGATCCATCAGATACCTCAGTGTGCTGACGATCCACATGTCCGGGAGCTCGACCAGCCTGGTAGCTGAACACATACGGACTAGCCGGAACCTTTGGCTCCGGGGTGACCAAGTGGGACACATCGGCCCAGGTGGCACCGATCAAACAAACGACCTTGACATGCAAACAGGAAGCGTTGTAGTTGAGTAATATCTGATGTGTTGCTGGGGCAAGTCGCTCACTTACCAAAACTATAAACTGCTTCATGGCTGGATAATATTGCCTTTCGACTCAAGCTGCGATTGGTAACTGACGGCGACTTGGCCAACACTTCGTTATTCGCAGTTCGTGAGAGCCAAAAACTGGTATTTGGCTCGCCGAGATGCGCATTTTATATGCGACTACGATCGGTTAAGCCAGCCACGATCCCAAAACTTGTTTTTACATTTTGCATTCATAAACAAGGTAATTTGACATCAAAGTTGAATTAACAAATTGTTTTTCGATAAGTACTATTTTATGTTATTGGTTAGTCATTTGAACTTGAGAACTAGCAAGTATTAAGTGATAAAGAAAGATCATTTACACGGAGGAAATCTTACACACTATGTTTACTATTTGTATATGGAGATTGAGAAAACTTAAGCGTAGCAATGATTTCGACTATTATTTCTAAGTGGTAAAGCAGTAGTGTTTAGGGAAAAAAAGCCTAGACCAGCTCCTCCATCGTCTGCGCTATCCAATCACCATATGCGGGAACTTTAGTGTAAATACCGGGAAACATGGCGTTTGCGCAGCCAAAACCCCAGGACACAATGCCGTAGAGTTTCATCCGCCCATCGATGGAGGTGACCAGTGGTCCTCCTGAATCTCCCTGGCAGCTATCTCTTCCACCCATCTGAGTTCCCGCACAGAACATGGTGTTGGTAACAGTGCCCGCTCCAAAATAGTTTCTTTCACACTGTTTTTGATCACTTAGCTGGACAACTGTGTAACGGAGACGCTTCTCAGGCTGCATCTGTGAGATTAGCTGACTACCCCAGCCACTGACGAAGAGCTGGGCCGTTGGCTGTATCCTGTCCTGAGTGGTGGCCAGACTTATTGGTTGAATTTCTCTACTATAGACGAGTGGCTGCTGCAGCTGAACGATGGCAATATCGTTGTTCATCCTTGTGGGCTCATGGAACTTGGGATGCGGTACAATGCGTTGAATGCGGATAAAGCTGCCGCCTTTGGCCCACTCATTGGATCCGGCTCGTATCGAATAATACTGCGGTTTGGTGTACTCCAGCACGCAGTGGGCGGCTGTTAAAATGATGGTTGGCGCAAGGATGGATCCACCGCAGGCGTGGCGAGTGCCCAACTGAAGAGATACTTGGTGCGGGAAGAATGTGATGTGCGTCTCCCAGCCGCCAACAATTCGGCCATCCTGTCCGCCATCCGTGGAGTTTTGGGCTGCCACAGTCCAGATTAGCAAAAAAGCTATTATAAGTTTCAGTTCCAAGCTCAACATTTTGTCAACTGTGATGGAATCCACTGAGGGCAAACTCTTTTATAAGGGAACTTAATGGCACGGCTTATCTTATCAGCAGAGCCAACTCTTTTTGTGGTGGCCCTTGACCTTCTGCGGATATCTTTTGGGATTTATGGATATTTATGGATGGCTTTGGACAAACTAAGCTGGCGGCGGAGGACGGGGGTGATGCTAGTGTCTAGGCTTTTGCTCTTCCAATCATCTTTCCATGGCCGTGACCTGCTCCTTGAGGTAATCCAAATGGTTAACGCTGTCCTGCATCACATCGTACTGGTAGCCCACGTGCTGCAGAATCAGCGTCATCTTCTGCAGATTCTGGTGGCTATAATCTGAGACGACGTCCACTTGGGTGAAGTTCTTAAGTGTTTGATGCATGATCTGGGAGTGAGTTATAATCTTAGTTTTTCCAATCAAGGGAGTTATAAATAAAGACTCACCTCATTGCTTTTGGAACCTCTAACAACCTGTCGGGCTACGGACCCTAGTAATAGCCAAAACAAAGACTTAGTATCGATTTCATTGCTTCAGGGAACAGAACTCACCCAAATTATTCACGTTCACGCCCACGCGGGCACATAATCGCTTCTTTGACTCGTCAAATAAATGCCGAGCACTTGAACTGGTCGCTGAGGCCATTTTATTTATGGTTTAATGTTGTTTGAATGTTAATAAACTTGTAAAATGTAAACAAAGTCGAGGCAAAACAGCTGAGATAACGCCCTTTGGTATCAGTGTGGCCAGCTGCAGCGTAATGAATATCGTAAATTTATAAAAATGACACACAGCAAGTCGGTGGAAAACTTTGATAATTGTTCAGCAATGACACAAGCCTTATAGCTGGCATACACTTGAAGAAAAAGTCATGAATTTAAGTAAAAACAAAACACCATAGGCCAAATAAATAAGTTCGTGAAATGTTTTTACGTTATTATTTCTAATTCTAGCCTTAACCAACCTAAGACTATAACATTCTTATAGTTTATTTTACTTTTGCACTCCCAGAACGTTAAAAATTTAATTCCATAACCGATATTCCAATGTATGCCATTCTCAGTCAAAATTTCAAAACGTTCGTTTTTCTTGGCATTATTTTTGTATGGCATACACTTTATCTTAAACGAAATTTTAAAATGGAATTTGATTCAAAAGTACTCCTGTACTATTGATTATTCTGTCTACATTCAAAACTCAAGTTACGAACATCTGTTCTTTGTTTTGCTTTGTCTGCTTCAGTGGGTGCCATATTTTCCCACAATTTTGATCTTAGCTTACAACAATGTGTGGTAGTGGTGATAGTATCGACCAATAGGCCAAATAGGTTCTTAGGATGCGATTACTTTTAACTCCACCTCACTATAAAAACGGAGTTTTTACCTTAACTCGATAATCCAGATTATTTTGATAGCAATAATAGCTAATTGCTCTGATTTATGATGAGCTTGAATTTCATAACAAGTTATCGGTGATAACGGTGATAACCGCTACCCCGTAGCGGTTTTTATACCCTTTCAGAGGGTATTATAATTTTGGCCAGAAGTTTGTAACGCAGTGAAGGAGACGTTTCCGACCCTATAAAGTATATATATTCTTGATCAGGATCAATAGGGGAGTCGATATAGCCATGTCCGTCTGTCCGTCTGTTTCAATACCGTTTGCGAGCTCAGTTTAAAAGCTAGCGATCTGAAACTTTCACACTCGTCCTAAAACATGTGTACGCAGATCAAGTTTGAAAATCGCCCCGATCGGACGTCTATATCCTATAGCTCCCATAGGAACAATCGGATATATCTAGCAAGAATTGATGATATTTCGCGCATTGTAAAAGCTTTTGACATGAATCTTTCCAAATCGTATTTTTTTATGTATACCTTGATCAGGGTAAAAGCGCGTGGCGATCGGACGTCTATATCCTATAGCTCCCATTGGAACAATAAGGTAAAATCGGTCCAAATTTTATGTTTTTCAGAATATTTCGCGCTGTGTAAAAGCTATTGCTATAAATTTTTTTAAATCGTAAATAGTTAAAGGCTGCGAAAGTATCCCTTTTTTTCTAATTTTAAATGACATTTTTGCAGTATAAAAGCAATTGACATTAAACGATGCAAATCTAGTTTATTTATGTATACCTTATTCCTTTCGCTACTTTTTCAGTTTTAGCAATTTCGGCAAAGTCTGCAAGGGTATTAAAACTTCGGCTTGCCGAAGTTAGCTTCCGACCTCGTTTTATATTTATATAAAGAGATCACTACCGTAGAAATCTTCTTAGAGAACATTTTGGCTTCGCAATTAAAACGATATTGTTTAATTTGTTTCGAGTTCATAGCAACAAGTGTTTTTGTAGTCGCTATTTTAAGCCAACGGTGATGTTCCACATAACTCGATGACACCACATAATATGCAACCCCTGTTTGAGCAAATCCTCGAGAGAAAAAAGTTTCCAATTTGCAAACAGGACCTTCATGCGATCAGGATTAGGACTCGGCCAAGAGCATGGCCAACTACTTCGAGGACTCGCTTCGATTCCAGGACATCTACCGAAAGAAAAGTTCTAGAACGACCATCGAGCTTCGGGCAACCTGGGATTTTACCGCCAGATGCAGGAACACGAGAAAAATAAACTCCGGCTCCAGGGCTCCTGCAAGATGGAGGCGTAGATCAACCAGCAGATTGAAGTGGAGAAGGAATGGATCGCCGTGGAGCTTCATATCATTCCATGAGGGTGGGGCTGAAAATTTGCGAGTATCAAAAATTCTCTTATTTATTTTATTTATCACTTTATACCTATTAAGTTTCATACTTAATCACTATTATATATATCATCAAATTTCAGCAGGGATATTACGGAAACGATGTCGAGAGAATTAAGGTTTTTCATATTTAACACATTTGTTTTCCCATTTCGACGAGAATATTACGAATTTTTATTTTTGTGTATTTTGTACTTAAGTTTCATATTTAATAACTTTCTAATCTCAAATTTCACCGAGGATATTACATCCATTTCCAACTTCGATGGGGATATTATGAATTAATACTGTTTCAACTTAATAAGGTCCTTATTTTGTCATTAAATAAAACTTTAACATGTTTAAATTACTATTCGCTTAGACCTTCTTTTTGTTAAAATTTGTTATTCTTTAAATTAAAGCTGTAAAAAAACTTTAATAAAATATTTATGCATAATATTTTTTTCTAATTTTATCCTTTTTTCGTAAGAGAAATGTTGAATATTTTTGAAGTCTGTGCTATAACATAGTATTTCAAGGTCAACCCTCTTATAATAAAAAAAAACAATTTAAATTTATAATGTTCTACTAAAATTAACCCAAGTCAATATCTTTAGAATTTTCTGTGATTAAAAAACCTCTAAATGAGTATATACACTCATGGACAAAATAATAGGTGTGTTTTTTTTCTTTTTTAATTTTCTATTTCTAATTCATATCTTCTCTAATCTCAACAAATGATTTTTTTTTCATAACTTCTAATCATTGTCTTTAAAAAAAAAAGTAAAACAGATTCACAAATCCTTTAATATAACACTAATTTAAATATTTTATTAAGTCCGCCAATTTTGGCTGAACACAATAATAGTTAAAGAAAAATGTTTAAATTAAATTAATATTTCACTATGTTTGGTATTTTTATACCCTTGCAGAGGGTATTATAATTTCAGTCAAAAGTTTGCAACGCAGTGAAGGAGACATTTCCGACCCTATAAAGTATATATATTCTTGATCAGCATCACCAGGAGAGTCGATCTAGCCATGTCTGTCCGTCCGTCTGTCTGTCCGTCTGTGCGTCCGCCCGTTTCTACGCAAACTAGTTCCTCAGTTTTAAAGCTATCTGCTTGAAACTTTCCCAAAAGTTGTCTTTCTACTGCAGGTAGTATATAAGTCGGAACGAGCTGGATCGGGAAACTATATCATATAGCTGTCATATAACTGAACGAGATTGAAATGCCATAACTTTGGTGTTTTTAAAGTTAGGAAGATCGGATTTTCTATGAGGTTTATTTTTGGCCTATTAGTCTGACCTACCAAATTTCATAAGGATCGGACGACTATATCCTATAGCCGCCATATAACTGATTGATCGGAAATGCCATATCTTTGGTGTTTGTAAAGTTAGGAAGCTGGGATTATCTATGGGTTTTATTTTTGGACAATCAATCCGACCTACCAAATTTCATAAGGATCTATATCCTATAGCTGCCATATAACTGAACGATTGGAAATGCCATAATGTTTTTAAAGTTAGGAAGTTGGGATTTTTTATGAGTATTAAGAATGCATCATATGAATAATTTTGGAGAATATAATTTACAGAGTATTCTGCAAGGGTATATCAACTTCGGCTCAGCCCGAAGTTAGCTTTTCTTGTTTTATATTAAACTAAGTATCTGGCAGCTAATAACCGGTATATCCGAAATTATTTTGCAAGACTTTCTCTATTTGTCTTGGCATGGAGGACATTAACTTACGTTAACTTACGACATGTTCCCATTGGAATGTGGTACCTTTTCTTTGGACATTATCCCAAAGTTGATTTTTATTTTGAGAAAAAGTCTTTCCGACGTCTCTTTTGAGTTCACACCAAAGATTATCGATGGGATTGAGGTCCGGGGATTGTGATTAGAGAAGATATGAATTAGAAACAGAAAGTTCAAAAAGAAAAGAAAACACACCTATTATTTTTTCCATGAGGGTAGATCAAACACTCGTCATAGAATTTAAAAATATTTCTTTACCAGAGGCAGAATACTTGGAGGAAACCTTTCCTGACTTGCATGATGATCGATAGTGTTTCTACATCCTAGAGTCCCATCGGCAGGATGCTGTAGTCGCGACACACTGACGACAGAGTGGAATTCACTGAACCTGCTCCTGGCAGTCATTCCGACTCACATCCCAAACTAAAACACCCATAAACTTGCCCCCAAAAACTAGCTGGAATTCCGGGCTGGCTGGCGCCAAAAGG